TGTTTGATTGATATATGGAAATCAGCCAATATTAGTATTCCAAATGGAAAACTAATTATTATATCATGTCCTGATAAACGCTTACTACTATTATCACCACAATACGGAAGCTCATTTGTGAATAACTTCATACTACAACATTATGATGTCAATGCACGTATAGTTGAACATGCACTATACAATATTGATTCACATAAAACAGGTTGTGTAGTTATTAGATCAAAACGAAACGATGTCCTACCATTAGCTATCGTAAAATCTAAACATGTAACATGGACCTTAATGGTTGATAACAGTTATTCATACCGTGGTGTTGTTCAACCTAGATTTATCGATTGTACTAAACTATATAATCAAATGCTAAACAAATATAGCGTTAAGAGTATTGAACCTTTACTAACGTTGCATGCATTAAGTGGTTGTGATTATTCATCCTCTATTCGAAGTGTGACAAAGCTAACCTTGTTTAATACATATTTTAACAATTCAAACAAATATCGCTATATACATCAGCTTATTACGTCGTCCCATAATCAAGTTATTCTACGTAGTTGTGAACAACTGATATTAGATGCATTGAAATCACCATATCCAACTTTTGATGAACATCGTTCTGGTATAGCTGGAAAGTCAAGAAAATATGATGAGTTCAATAGTTTGAACCTATTACCCCCAACGTCAGATGCTGCTTATCTCCATTTCAAAAGAGCATCGGTTGCATTAAATTTATGGACGAGACAAGCACAACAAACAATCTGCCTCTCAAACGGGTTTGAAATTAACAATGGTCTTTTGCAAATCACATGGATAAAGAAAAAAATTGCACCTGAACCACTATTAACAACATCCTGTTCATGCACAATTGGCAAATGTACAAACTGTTCGTGTGCAAAAAATAACGTAACATGTGTTCAAAATCATTGTAAATGTGCTCAAGGTACATGTGGTAGAAGATGAATCCTCAAACTGTTGATATTCTATTCTTTTACTTCCAACAATGTTTGCTTTCCTTTCTTTTTCGGGTTAACTTAAAAACTTTAAAACACTACTATTATTCTTAATAAGTCCTCGCGTAAAAATTTCGACTGAATCAACAAAACAAAGAACTCATAAAATTTTTATGAAGAGAAACATGTTTATCTTGTTTATTCGTTTGTTAATTATGCTCTGAGAAGCCAAGTT